TATTTGCATTATGTAATTAGCATTATATTTTGGTTGCATTATGATAATGGTATTTATTTGCATTATGATAATTAAAATTGTTTTACATTATAGTTATTTGTTTAAATATTTGCATTATGATAGATTTTTTCCTAGGGCTGCACGATTAATCGAATGCGATTGTCATGTGCATCTCGTCAGTAAAGCCGGTTCTGTGATTAGTAGTAAATCTCCGTCACCTGCTTTCAGATGGAGCAGCATTTATTACACAGAGCCGTAGTTCACTGACAAGCTACGCAAAATCGTGTTCATAATCGCAGATGATATAATCGCGCGATTATGAACCCAAAGAAATCGTTCTGCGATTATGAAAGCAGATTGCGTAGCTTGTCAGTGAACTACGGCTCTGTGTAGTAAATGCTGCTCCATCTGAAAGCACGTGAAAATACCACATTTAATAACATGTTTTTACTCCAAACATAACATAAGTCGAGTGTTTAAAATCCTTCTGTGAGACGATGTGGCTTCTTACACAGAATAAGGCACGCAACATATTTCATAGTATTCTAAGCAGTGATAAAGGCTATGTCGATTAGCATTGCATTATTATATACTTTATTATAATAAAAATTATAATAAGACGAACTCAGATAAACCATATATTGTCATAGTCGTGTGTTTATTAGTCACGTTGAATTAATGAAAGCAGTTAAATCTTCTGTTTATTCAGCAACCGCTATAGAGATTTCCTGATTTCTTCTTCGGGGCGTATTTGGAGTTTTAGCGCGAGAGCGCCCTCTGGCCTTCGGATGGAGATTTACTGCTGATCACAGAACCGTGCTTCACTGAAAGATACGCATGACAATCACAGCTTCTGTCTAATCGCGATTTATCACCTTTGCAATTTAATTTCAATTAATCGTGCAGCCCTATTTTTTCCTATTGTGGTAATGATGACATTTTTTTTTACTTATGTATTTATTTGCCATATGGTAATTAGAAATAGTTGTTTTATTTTTTGCATTATGGTAATTATGATATTTAATGATTTATTTATTCACATTATGATTATTAGAATTACATTTTATTTTTACATTGTGACAATGATGGTATTTATTTATTCGCATTATGGTACTTAGAATTTTTTTTTTGCATTATGATAATATGATATTTATTTACTTATTTGTGTTATGAAAATTACAATTAAATTTTATTACATTGTTGTAATGAAGGTATTTTGGTAATGGTAATGATTATTTGTATTATGGTAATGAGAATGAGAATTATATTTAAATGTTCAAGTGAGAATAATAAGAATGACAAAAAACAAAACAAAAAGGCAGAAATTATTATGCAGTATATCACTGCATATATATATATTTTTTAATGTGACCCGGACATTTCTTTGCAAGATTCCCCCATGTACAGCTTTAAAATAAAACACAGTAGAGCTCTCGGTCAAAGAGAAACGTTAATGGCCCTTCCTGTCTCCTCGTATCATCTTTCTCAAGGGTTTTTAAAATTCTTTGCACTTTACGCTTTAGTTCCTGAAAGTTAAGAGTTGTTTCCTCCTCTCTCTCAGATCCCTGATGAGTCACACCATCTGTGCACTTTCTCCTTCTCTCTCTGTCTCAGTGTGAGATGGAGACGGGACGTTGTGTCCTCTATGCGGTGGTAGACATGGTCTGAATGACAACATGGTGCTACCATTGAACATAGGATGGATACAACATTTTTTATTTTATTTTTTTTAAATCCTGTCTTCCTGGATAACCTTTAAAGTTAAAGTATCACCTTGTTATCTTATCAACATGCTAACAACAAAAAGTTCTAAGACGATACAATTGCAGTGTCAAATTTTATAGTTGTACTATATATTGATGTGGTATTAGCATAGTATATATTCCGAAAAAACATGGTACAATGTCAAAATGTTATTTCAAATTATTTCAGTCAACATTAGTATGTGTTGTATTTTTGTTGCTAATTAGAAGATTGCGTCATTCACTTACAAAAAATACCAAAAATTACCATGGTACATGTCCAGCATTTCCATGGTGCTTTCGACAACATATTAACATAAAAATTCTGTTCTGATACCGTAGCTATCAGATTTTAATATCATAGTGCTTTGTAATATATTTGTGATAATAGCATGGTAAAAACATAATATTACCATGTTACCATGTCCAAAAAATGTTCATGTCCAGTGAAATTACAAATTGATCATTTTAGCCAAAATTTTTATTTTTTTTATGCCTGTTGAAGTATCATGTTGTTAGAAACATGCTAATGACAAAGAGTACCATGGCAGTATGTAACATATTATTGGTGTTTTATGCGTACTTTATTAACTATGTATATTTTTGTTAAAGTATTGTTTCTGCAGTGTTAGCTTAGCAACATGCTAATGACATAAAAGTGTTGTGGTAGTATTTAACATTTGCATTTATGTATATTTTGCTGTATTTTATGCTCATTCAAGTATTGTTGTTTCACTGTTAGCTTAGCAATATGCTAAATAAAAAATGTAGTAACATTTAGCATGTTTAACATTTGTGTGTTATGTATATGTTGCCATATATTTTGCCAATTCGAGTATGTTGCACTGTTAGCTTAGTAGCATGTTAGGCTAATGATAAAAAGTATATTTGTGGGTGTTGTGTGAATTTTGCACTTATTTAAGTTATTGTTTTGTACAAGATTTTGAACTGTTAGCTTAGCAACATGCTAACATCAAACACTAACTGCGTCCCAAATGATACTATACACTATGCTACTTGTGCACTATGTACTCAACCATGTAATGTATGAATTTTATAAGGTTATTTTGTCATTAATAATCTGATTCTGATAGCCCCTCCCCCTTCGCGACTTAAAGCTGCGACAGTTGAGTGCATAAAGTATCCAACATTCCACACTTCGTTTTTTCAGTTATTTAAGTGCATCATACGGGTATTTAAAGTGCACTTTTTTTCTTTTGGAATTTTCAGTGTGAACGCACTTCTTGCACTATTTATACTACAGAACGTCATAGAATAGTGCATAAGTACGTGATTTGGGACACACCTACAATTTGGAACTCTAATTAGGCTATATGATGTTGCATAAGGTTTCTTTTTAGTTAGCATGCTGCCTTGTAGGCTGTAGGCACCAAGGCAGTTCACTATTGAGTTTAGCTTGTGCCACAATAGCTCTTCACACCATCATTAGCATATCCATAAAAACGATGACTCTTTCAGAGGTGGCAAAATGACGGCATCAGACTGTTCTGTGTGGGATGTGGGTTCACTTATTCATGGCCGTTTCTGTGGGTAGCATCATGTGCGCGTGCCAACTCCACACTATTGCTCATCTCGAATGCGTGGATGTTAGTCATGGCATTTCAGATGCAGTGATGATTACATGCAGAAATGTCCTGTATGTGTTGATCTGGGTTCAGTTCGTCGTGTTGAATCTATGGTCCATCCGCTAGCAGGCTAAACTGGTTCAGCACAAGCAGCCAAAGGCGACTTTCTCCCATGTGTGCTCCAGACTGCTGATAAAAACTTAATAAACACTGAGAGAACGATCCAAACAGCCGAAACACAATCTGTTTCACCTAGTTTCTAAACTAAAAATGATTACAATTATTAATTGAATGCCCTCAATGATTAGTTGATTAAATACCATTTAAACAACACGTATAACGGATTCATTCAAATCATGGAAATGCCATGGCACTTTTTGTAAGTGAAGTCTAGATGAAACAGGAAAGATGAGGCATGTTTAGATGCACATTTTAATGAGGCTTATGTATTTTCATAAGAATAGTTGTGTTTCTATTAGGCCTATCATGTAGATCATCTATTAAGTGACATCCTGCCACCCCTCAATGAGTCCCGTGTTTCATAGAACCTTCTAGTGATGGAGAAATACACCGGCGCCCTCTTCAGGTCAACACACTGAAATGGATTGAATGGTTGTTTGTGGTACATATTTGTGTGACTAAACTATAAAAACTGCCTATTATAAAATAAGGGTAAACATATTAAATACATTATGCTTTTAGTACATAAAAAAATCTAGAAACAAATTATTTGTAGGCTGGAGTTTATATGCATTTATATTCAAGATATAAATGATTCTGGTTCTGTTTTAAAATGTTTATTTGTAAAACAACTTTTCTATTTATTTATTTTGTATTTATTTTTTATGACATAAATCCCAGTAACAAAGTTTGAATTTGTGCTTTTAGATAAGCTTTTATTTTCATATTTCAATTAAAGTCAACTGGCGTATATATAAAACTTTTATAATACTAATCGGTACATGCTAAAGAAAATCAGAATAGTTTTGACATAAAATATGTACACATAATATGTAAACAACACATAAAATACTACAAAATAATCTAAACATAAAATTTGACATAGCAATATTACTATCCAATTTTGGTTTGAATTTAAATTATTTCATTATTTGACTAGAAGCAACACAAGAGGCGTGAAATTAGAACAGCTAATAGGCAGTGTTATTTTAGTATGATTTATGTAATACAGTATTAAAGTTTTGAATTAGCTTTTATTTTTTATTATATTTTTCATACATTTTTAATTTACTTTTTAGTGATCTTGTTATGTGGTTTTGTCATTTCTATTTAAAAATTACTACTATTTTTATATATTTTTTTAATAATTTTTTTTATTTCGTATTTCAACATCTTGTTTTAATTAATACAAGTGTTTTTATCTCATATTATACACTGTTTCATTTTATTTCAATTACAGAAAACTATTTTTAATAGTTTTAGTTTTAGTTAACAACAACACTGATAATAAGAAATTAGTAAATGATTCAAATTGGGGTCATTATTATAAAATACTCAACCACAGAACCTCATTACTGGTTGATCAGAATCATCATTTCCATGTTGTGTTTTGCGGTCTTCATGTATTGTCCACTAGATGGTAGCAAAGGAGTAAAAGTCCTTACTAGATGGGTTTAACGTTAAAAGTTCTAATGTTCGTCTTTCTCTGTAGATCACTGGGGCGATCCTGCTTGCAGTGGGATTATGGGGGAAATTCATTCTGGGTCCGTACATCTCTCTGATTGCTGAGAACTCCACCAATGCTCCCTACGTGCTCATCGGGACCGGGACCACCATCATCGTGTTCGGACTGTTTGGATGCTTCGCCACGTGCCGCGGGAGCCCATGGATGCTCAAACTGGTGAGTTTAGCCTCAGGGAGCACATTTGACATCAAATGACGCCCCTAACAGCTAACACGTCTCTCTCATCTCTAGTACGCCATGTTCCTGTCTCTGGTGTTCCTGGCCGAGCTGGTCGCTGGCATCTCGGGCTTTGTTTTCCGTCATGAGGTGAGACGTGCATATGCATATTCTCCGGCAGTGACCCATAATGCGTCTCAGAGATCTCCATCTGTCTCGCACTAGGAGGGCTTGTTCTGGTGACATCTGACAGAGTGTGTGTGTGTGTTTACTCAGATCAAAAGCACCTTTATGAGGACATACAACGAGGCCATTCAGAACTACAACGCCCAGGACGAGAGGAGCATCGCGGTGGACAACATCCAGAGGAGTGTACGTTCAAACACTGGTTAACATCAGTTCATCGGTTTAATACTGTTTATCTAGTGTAAGGAAAAATGTATCATAATCTGCATTAAAAATCAGGAAATCTAGACAAAGACAAAGTTAACTAATAACTAGTTCTTGAAGCTTTAAATTTATAGTATGCATGTCCGTTAGACTGATTGCTAGTTCTTGCTGAGATGTTACAAGTAGGGTTGGGTATCGTTTGAATTTTATCCGTCAGTAATAAGATAGGAACAACCAAATCAATTAGCAATATCATAAATAAATACAACTGAACAAAATTTCAGGTACAGAAACTGTAATTAAAAGTTTAAAAACACTGCATAGTTTTCTTTTCATAAATAAAATATAGATTAATCAATTAAAGTTATTAAATATATTCAGTCAAGATCAGTGAATGATTTTCTTTTGTTCTTTGTTCTTTTATTTATTAGGCTGCTGTCTCTTTAACACCGAACGCATGCAGATCTAAAAAATACTGTTCACGAGCGTTTTCTTTCTCATCTGTTTACGTTCACGTAAGACAAAAACGGCTGTGCTTATGATGATATACTGACGTAGTTTTCTGCATATTGGTCGACAAATATGAAAGAAGTCAGTTTCGGCCCGGAACAACCTTTTCTACAGTGGAAATACACGGAACGGTTCGAGAACGGACACAAACCGGGAACCCGTACCGCGACCTCTGTTCTCTGTGCTCGCGCTTGCGCTTTGTGTGCGCTGCACGCAAACAGGGCGCAAGTTCTTTCCGTTCCTGCACTTAAATTGCCTGCACTTAAATCGTTTTTAATCACATTAAAATGCGAACGCAGGAATCGTTCAGCAGAATCGAAATGCACGCGTCTTATCGAATACCCGGTTCTTGGAAATTTGGAACCGGTTCTAAAATGGAACCGGTTTTCGATACCCAACCCTAGTTACAAGTAATCGCTAAGGGTTTGCTAAGGTATTCTGGGTGGTTAGGTTGTTTGCCAAGATATTTTCTGGTTGTTAGGCAATTGCAAGGGCATTCTGTGGGGTTGCTAGGGGGTTGCTAAGGTATTGCTGGTGGTTAGGGTGTTACTAAGATATTTTCTGGTTGTTAGGTAGTAGTAAGGGGCAATCATTGTGGTTGCTAGGGGGTTGCTAAGGTATTCTGTTAGGGTGTTTGCTGAGATATTTTCTGGTTGTTAGGTAGTTGCAGTGGCATTCTTTGTGGTTGCTAGGGGGTTTCTTAGGTATTCCTGGTTGTTAGGGTGTTGCTAAGATACTTTCTGGGTGTTAGACAGTTGCAAGGGCATTCTGTGTCGTTTTCTGGTTGTTAGGGAGTTGCAAGGGCATTCTGTGTGGTTGCTAAGGTATTCCTGGTGGTTAGGGTGTTGCTAAGATATTTACTGGTTGTTAAGTAGTTGCAAGGGCATTCTTTGTGGTTGCTAGGGGGTTGCTGACATATTCTGGGTGGTTGGGGGTTGCTAAGAAATTTAATGGTTGTTAGGTAGTTGCAAGGGCATTCTTTGTGGTTGCTAAGGAGTTGCTAAGGTATTCCTGGTGGTTAGGGTGTTGCTAAAATCTTTTCTGGTTGTTAGGCACTTGCAAGGGCATTCTGTGTGGTTGCTAGGGAGTTGCTAAGGTATTCCGGGTGGTTAGGTTGTTTGCTAAGATATTTTCTGTTTGTTAGGTAGTAGTAAGGACATTCTGTATGGTTGCTAAGGTATTTCTGGTGGTTAGGGTGCTGCTAAGATATTTTCTGGTTGTTAGGTAGTTGTAAGGGCATTCTTTGTGGTTGCTAGGGGGTTGCTAAGATATTCTGGGTGCTTGGGTTTTCTAGGGTGTTGATAATGTGTTCCAGGTAGTTTTAAGAGGGTTGTTAAGCAGATAGATTCCTGGTGGTTAGGGTGTTGCTAAAATCTTTTCTGGTTGTTAGGCACTTGCAAGGGCATTCTGTGTGGTTGCTAGGGAGTTGCTAAGGTATTCCGGGTGGTTAGGTTGTTTGCTAAGATATTTTCTGTTTGTTAGGTAGTAGTAAGGACATTCTGTATGGTTGCTAAGGTATTTCTGGTGGTTAGGGTGCTGCTAAGATATTTTCTGGTTGTTAGGTAGTTGTAAGGGCATTCTTTGTGGTTGCTAGGGGGTTGCTAAGATATTCTGGGTGCTTGGGTTTTCTAGGGTGTTGATAATGTGTTCCAGGTAGTTTTAAGAGGGTTGTTAAGCAGATAGATAGATACACAGATGATAGATAGATAGATAGATAGATAGATAGATTGAGAGAGATTTAGCAGTACCTGTCATGAGCTCTGATCTGTATAATATTCTCTCTGACTGTGTTCAGTTGCGTTGTTGTGGAGTTCTGAACTACACCAGCTGGTTCTCCAGCGTTTATTTCCCTGTGAATGGAATTCCTCCGAGCTGCTGCGCTAACATCTCCGACTGCAACTCCTCAGACCTGCGAAACGCCACCATAGCGGCCACCAAAGTCCATCAGCAGGTAACACACACACACTTATCAACCACACACACTGATTGTGTTTTTCATGTACTTATAATGCTTCTGTTGTGTTCAGGGCTGCTATGAGCTGGTGACGACTTTCATTGAGACTAACGTGGGCATTATTGCTGGAGTAACGTTTGGAATTGCATTCTCGCAGGTAGGATGGACTTAAGGCCTGTTCACATCAAGGACGATAACGATAAAAATATAGTTCTAAAAATCATTCTCAATGTTAAAGAATAGCAGAGTCCACACCACAGCTATAACGATAAAGGCACAGAGAAACGATATCATTGGAATCACTTCCAGAGCAATTTTTTTCCAGCTGATGACCGATACAAACATTGACGCCCAATCAGAATCCATCCTGCTGTCATGAGCTCGAGAATTTAAAGCGACAGACGCATGTACACTTAGAATAAACAGACGATATCGTCCGCTGGTATGGACGCTAATATCGTTATCTTTATAGTTACCGTTCTTGGTGTGAATGGGGCTTTGTTCGTTTTCTTTTCCTTTTACTCTTTTTTTTTAATTAATTTTTTTAGGTTACAGGAAATCTGAATTTTTTTTAAGTCAGTTTTTTACAAATTTTCCTTTTTTTTTCTTCTTTTTTTTTTACACATTTAAAAAAAAAATGCAATAGTTTTTCTTTTAAACATTTATTTTTCTTTTAAACGTAATATATTTGTATTTTTATTTTAAATTAAAACATTTTTTTAAACGTACACTTATTTTAAACATTTTATACTTTAAATATTTTTAAAGATGTTCTACACTTGTATTTTAAACATTTGTTTTTTTTTTTACTTTTTTATATTCTACACTTATTAAACATTTTATTTTATTGTTTTTATCTCTTTTAATATTCTGCACTTATTTAATATTCTATACTTTTATTTTAAACATTTGATTTTAAATATTCACACCTATTTTTAAAACATTTCATTTGATTGTTTTTACCTTTTTTTAGATATTAATAGTTTTAAGCCTTATATGTAAAAGATTGCTGCTATATATATAGAAATGACCTCTTGATTGGTCAAACAAAAAGATAGTCCCGCCCCAAACTCACACAACTGCTTGATGTTATTATCTAAAAAACTTGCACGCCGTTAATTTCATCTAAACATAAGCAGGAATGTTTTTCCTCTCCTTGAGACGTAATAATTACGTCTGAGGCGATCATTTGCGAGCTAATATTTACTCCAATCTGTTTTCCGTTTACCGCTGAAGCGAGCTGAACAGCTGGCTGCTGTTGTCTCGCACAGGTGGAGCGGTTCGCGCTGTCTAAATGAGTCACTGGGTAACGGCGCGTCTAAAAGCTCGAGCGAGAGCCGCGCTGCCATGACAACCCCACCGTGAACGCCGACCCCGGGCTGTCTGTGTTTTCCCAACCCTCATTTAGTAAACACACATAGACACAGGCGCAGGAGCCGAGTGTGTGGCGCAGCTGGGGTTTGCTAGCGAACGTGCTGCTTCAAACGCAATCAGGCGCTCTGTCACTCACGCTTCCGCCTCGGGACCATTATGCAGATATCGCTCCATCCGCACTAATGGGTCCAAAGGGCCGCGCAGGAACACCTCGACCCCTCTGCCGTGCACACGCGATGCTAATTGAACTGTAAACGTTATCTGTGAGCACACGGGCGGCCCGAATCAATGACATCTCTTAGGGACGCTAATACGTCTAATCTTCCGCCGCGCACGTGGAATTCTTTTGGCTCGGTTAAACGGGAATCAGTAAACATTCATTATGATTATAACTAGTATTTGGTGCTTGCGGAGAGAGCGAACCGTAAACCCGGGAGAGCAGCCGGCGGTAACGACTATCGCAATTTAATTTAATTAGCAATTACGTTGGGAGAGGGAGCAAAAAAAAAAAAGCCATGGGAAACAGCTTTACCATGGTAACGGCCACGTGCGTGTGTGTTTTTCAGCTGATCGGGATGCTGTTGGCCTGCTGTCTGTCACGATTCATCACTGCCAATCAGTACGAGATGGTGTAGCGGCGTGTGCACAGGTGAGACGCACACACTCACACACACAGTCCGTTAAACACATGAGCTACTGACTAGCTTTAGCCGTAGCATACGGTCTCATTTGAAATGGACTGCAACTCATCATGATACACAAATAGCTCACAGGAGAATCGACTCTCAGTGGAGTTTGGGGTTAGCGTGTCGTAAAGATGCAAATGTCGGATAAAGTATTAAATAAAATAGAAATATTGAATAAAATAGTTTCAGTACGTGTTTTCGTAGAAGGCAGCATAATTAATTTGCCGTTCCCATTAAGTATACATACAGTATATAACCAATTATATACTTCAAATATAATTAATAAATCAATAAATAATTTAAAAATTAAGATAATTTTATATATATATA